GCGGAAGTCCCTCATGGTGGACGACAGGGTGCTGGCATGCCACAGCGTGACCGACGTGGGCCTGCGCAGTCCATCGGAAAGTGGAACAAACAAGGCCATTGCGTCAGTGACTGGCAACAACGACAATCAACGTATCACATCTGCAATTTGGTAGTGGCCGTGGTGGAACGTACGGGTTGGCGGTGTCGACTTGGACCTTGATGCTGGCGGTGGTGTTGGACTTGATGATCTCGTAGGTGTACGAGGGGCGCGGGGTCTTGGAGATCACCATCTGGTAGAAGCCGCTGAGGGTGAAGGTAACATCGACGTAGGCCGTCACGAGGGCGTGCTCGGCATCGGGAATGAGCTGCGCAAGTACGTGTATGAAGGCACGGAGGTGAGACTGTGCCCATGGGCCGCTTGGCCGGTGGTGGTCAGAGTCGAGGGCCAACGTACGTTCAGGTGAGTCTCGCCGGGGAGCTCGTTGATGAAGAACTGCGGAGAATCGGGGAGGAAGAACTCATCGCCGGTGGCAGTGAGAATCATCTTGGGCATCGTCAGACGGTCCCTGCGCAAGGCGCCGGCAGTGTGAGCTTTTTTGCTTGTAACCGCCGCCGTCACCTCACGGCGTGAACCTGGAGGCTCATAGTCCTGCTACGTACCTGTAGGTGTACGGGTCCACGATGGCAGCCATGTCCAAGAACTCGGGCTTGTTCAGGAAACCCATACACCCCTGCTGGAGGTAGTCACTCAGAGCAAAGCTCCAGCCACCTGCGGCGCGGCACGTGGTCGATCCAATGTGTAAGCCCAGTGACGTTGCACAACAATGATTGACTGTCGTTTGATCTTTACTCCGATCGTACCGTAGGCCTGGTAGTGGTGGTTCATGTTGGGAACGATGTTCAGGATGGGCATCACCATCGGGACGATACCCACGATACGCTTGTCGACAGCGGCGGCAGTCCAAGTGGTCCTGTTCGTTCACACGCACACATGCGTTGAGCCATGGCGCCCACTTTGATGAGGAAAAGAGGAGATGGCCATGTGTTGGGATTGGCCTGGTACGTACCAGCCGCGCTTCGAAGCACCGGCCACGACGAAGTTGTTGACGGCGGGGATGCTCGGGTTCTTGAGCGTGGCAATGAACGCCTGCACGGCGTCCATGGCCTTGACCACGGCCTTGGTCATCGGGAGACGCGGAAGCCAGATAGCGACCTCCGGCAGCAGGTCGGTGTTGTTCAGGAAGTGCCTCCACGCGTACGCTGCGTACCACACATTCGTGAGTTCACCATCGCACACGCACCATCACACATTGAAAGGTGTCACGCGCGGCTGCGGCGGCGGTACCGATCATGGCATCCTCGCTCCTGCCCTTGCCGTCCTTGTAGTAGACGATGGGCTGGTTCGGAATCTGAAGCAGGGCGACGCCGACGGTGCGCGACTGGAAGCACACGAACTCGGGCACCAGGTTGAAGGACTTGGGCACGGGGTCCTTCGTGTGACCACCGTCGATGTAAAGGAAGGCGCTGTCGGAATAGCGCGTGTCCGGCTGGTCGGGCACGCACACCTGCAGCCAATGCTTCCAGACCTGTGGCCAACACCAATTTTTAATTTAATAAAATTAACAACATTAGAAAAAAATTAAAATACGCTATTGGCCAAAAAAATATAAAATAATATTACACATAAAACCTCCGCACGGTGAAGAGAAGAAGATGGAAACGAAGGGGGAGCGGAGAGATCGTACGGGCTGGTTGGTCTCGTTGGAGGTCATCCAGGTCTGCGAAACCAGCTCGATATTGTAGGCGGTGTAGCCGAGCACGGTCGACCTGAAGGTATTGTTCACCTTCCACGAAAAGGTCGGGTCCGGAGCGCTGATGTAGTCGTCCAGCGGAGTCGCGAGAGCGACGTTGTGCAGCGCAAGCGCCAGAACCACCACAAGGGCGACCGCAAAGATCTTCATCCTGACGTTGAAGGTACCTTGAAGCTAAAATCCAACAACTAACAAAACCGCGCCAGACAAATCCAAAGCCCTTTGAGTTGAAAATGCCAGCGAAAAGGCGGAGCGCAAGCTCATTCGCTCTTTGATAATTTCCGTAATTTCTCCGAATTGAATTTTGAGTGGCTGTTTGAATTTACGAAATAGGGCCGTTTTCTGATTATGTATGGTGGGCGCCTCTTACCCAAACAATGAACATTGCGTTCTTCACGTGATCGGCCTGGAAAAGTACATTCAGCTTGTTTCTTTATTTGTGGGTTTGCTGGATGAGGCTCTCCTTGGATTGCACCATCTGAACACGATCTCTTTCTGATGGATCAAAAACGACCAGAAAGCAAGGGACCTCCAGGCGGAGGTGGAGGTGGGGAGGAGCAACAACACGAGAAATTGCAAGAGATGCAGAAGAATTGGGTTCATGTACAGAAGAAGGTCATCCTTCCCTCCCCCTACACTTACGTAGATTTTTTATCAAGATTTTTACCAAATCTCTGTTAAATCATCTCTCAAATGGCAGACCTTCCAAGCGTGGGTGAATCACACCCTGGGGGCTCGAGCGATGGCGATTACGGACCTCTCGACGGACTTCTCCAACGGAGTGGCTCTCATCAACCTGCTGGAGATTCTCTCGGGCAAGTCGGTGGGGCGCTACGCGCTCAAGCCCAACTCGCGCTTCCTCAGGATCGAAAACGTCGTCATTGCTCTCAAGTTCATTGACCAGAAGCTCAAGCTACGGCTCTACGGCACCAGCGCCGAAGGTTCGACCCTGCAAACTTATCTCTCACACCGCACACGCGCACCGCACACACGTCAAATGACACGACACACGCCACACTGGCCGTGCACTAATCCACACACGGCCACATGCGCAGATATTGTCGATGGCAACACAAAGATCATATTGGGCATGGTGTGGCGATTGATCCAGACCTTCCGGTTGAAGATGGACGGACTCGGCGAGGGCGAGGAGGGAATGCTGGACGACACTGCCGAAGAAAACACGTCCGGCACCGGTTCCCTCCCCGCCTCCGCCTCTGTCCGAGGTACGTCCACTCGCACTCGCCTCGCACACACCCGGATGCTCACAGTGTTATATTGTGTCGTGTGTCGTGTGTCGTGTGTCGTGTGTCGTGTGTCGTGTGTCGTGTGTCGTGTGTCGTGTGTCGTGTGTCGTGTGTCGTGTGTCGTGTGTCGTGTGTCGTGTGTCGTGTGTCGTGTGTCGTGTGTCGTGTGTCGTGTGGTATGTGTGTCGTGTGGTGTTGCTTACACAGTTCACAACGCGTTCAAGAGCACACTGCTGTCGTGGTGTCAGCGGAAGCTCGACGTCTACCCTACGGTGAGCGTGGAGAACTTCGACGCCTCGTTCGCCAACGGAATCGCGTTCTGTGCCCTCATACACCGAATACATCCGCACCTCATCGACCTGCATGCCCTCAATAAGGCACGTGTACCAACCACCACATAGCTATAATGCCTCCGTTCCTCACATTCTTGATCGTATAATCGCATGTCTCTCGTGTGTGCGGTCTTCAACATCTTGCAGGACCATGCGGTGCAGAACCTATCGCTGGCGTTCAGTCTGGCGGAGGAGCACTTTGGCATCCCGCAGCTGCTCGACCCGCGGGACTTAGTGGACAGCAAGCCCGACGAGCTCTCCGTCATGACCTACATCTCCGAATTCTTCCACGTCTACATGAACATCGAGAGAGTACGTTTTTTTTATATTTATTTATGTATCGATCACGCCTACCTTTTTCGCAGCCGGCTTAACTAACACTCCACATTCGTTCACTTGCAGTCGCGCAAGGCCGACATTCAGCGACTGAGCGAGGAGGAGCGACAGCGACAGGAAAAGGCATCTGAGTCTATCGACAAAGTTGCCGTCGTGGTACGGCCTACTTTACTAATTTTTATTATTTAGTTATTTATGATTACTTTTGTTGTATTATTATTATTCTTTTTATCTTATTTATTGTTTTTTCTTGGTGGTACGAGGTGGGGGAGGAGTCGCCTGTGGCGGACGCGGAGAGCAAAGACGCGTCGATGTCGCCCGGGCAGATGACGAACAACGAGCGCATGACGATGGAGCTGGAGATCGCCGAGGGCCTGGACGAGGTCGAAGAGCTCAAGCAGAAGCTCAAGTACCAGCAGGACGAGTGCTCGGCGCTCCGGATCAAGTTCGCCAAGAAGCGCAAGAAGCTGGCGGACTACCGCGCGCGGGAGCGCGAGTGGATGGAGAAGGTGGAGTCGCTGCTCCGCGAGAACGAAGCCCTGCGCGACGAAGCCGCCGCGAGAAAACGCGAAGAAGCGACAACGGCAGAGAAAACGAAGAAGAACGAAGCGAACGGCGAAGTGAGCCAATTAGGAGCGGATCGAGAGAAGGATCCGGCGAGGTCGCCCCGAGCAGTGGTGATGACGTCAGCGACGGCCACCACGAGCGGGTCGCAGGCCTCAGCGGCGACCACCGCCGCAGCGGGCGATGGCCCGATCCACCGGGTGTACGACCTTCGGATGTCAGCGCCGGTCATCCCCTACGACCTCTTCAACTTTCTCACAGAGGAGATCTACATCACCAAAATTGTACGCCCATCGTTCAGTGCCAGCGATCAAATGCGCTCGTGCTGTCTAACGGGCCGCACACGCACACGACACACGACACACGACACACGACGACACACAATGACACACGCGCACAACGCAGTTTCTGCAACACTTGGAGCATGTCGACACGAAGGTGGGGCAGGACCGGGAGGCGGACAACCAGTGGCGGGAGGAGAACAAGAGGGCGCGCAGCGATTCGGTCGATGGCGAGGCGTTTGCTGTACTTCTCTCCCCCCCACCCACCCACTCCCTCTCTCTCTCTCACGCTCGATGTGCCGCGCTACTATTTGTGTCCCCCTTTACTCACGAATCGCAACGCAACGCAACGCAACGCAGGAGGATGAATGGAGCGAGTGTGCGGTGCTCTTGGTGCAGCGACAGGTCCGGGTGTGGCTGGCGCGACGAACAGTCTCCAATCTCAGTGCGTGATCTCGCCTCGCCGCCCTTTTGGCTGTTGTGTTGTGCTGGCGTTGTGTGGGGCACTCACTCGCAGACTTTCATTCATTCTTTCATTCCTTCTGAAGGGCTGTTGAAGCGCTTCGACGGTCAGGAGCATTTGGTCGTGCGGCTGCAGGCACAGCTTCGAGGGTGGGTCGCCCGGAAGCGTTTCAGGGAGCAGGGTACTCCTCGCACTCACACACTCACTTTCCCGACACGACACACGCGCCATCGCACACGCACACGCACACACACACGCACACACAACACACATGCGCCATCGCACACGCCACTCAGTGACACGGGCCGTACTTACTTACGGTGGTTCATGCGCATCAGTGTACATGCTGGGGCAGCGGACGGAAACGGCCAGGGAACTGCTACGATCGGAGAACATCTACGTCGATTCCCTGCGAGTCATTGTCGAGGTCCGTTTGTTAGCGCGTTCGGCGATTGTGCGTTTGTGCCACTGGGGCTCCCACTCACGGGGGGGCTGGGCAGGTGTTCTTGACTCCGCTGCGCAAGCCGGGCTCTGCACTCAGTCCGTGGCAGGTCAAGGCCGTCTTCTCCGAGGTCGAGGTACGCCGTACCAGCCACGAGCGCGCACCACGAAGCGAAGGCAAATTTACTCACTTTGGTTTCGCGACGCACCACGCACACGCACACGCACACAAAGGTGATTATGAACTACACGGCCATCCTGTTGGATAGGGTGGAGAAGAAGCTCGCGGCCTGGACCCACAACCAATGCCTGGGCGAAATCTTCCTCAAGCTGGTACCATTTCCTGGCTCCCCCCCCCAACCACCACCCAATGGCATCATCTGGCGAGACATCAACATGCAGCTGACGACAGATTGCAATCTCTCACGCCCTGTCCTGTAGACCGATTTCTTGAAGGTCTACACGGAGTACGTGTACAACTTCCCCAAGGCGCTCACCACCTTCAACTCGTGCAAGCAGAAGGGACCCTTCAAATCCTTCCTCCTCGTACGACCAACTTCTTCTTCACGCATCGATACACCGCCCAATCTGTCATCGTGACAACCAACAACAACAACAACGCGTCTTGCTTGTGTGTCTGTGTGTGTGCACGTGTGCGTGTGCGTGCGTGTGTGCGTGCGTGGTGTGCGTGCGTGTGTGTGTGGTGTGTGTGTGTCGTGTGCGTGTGCGTGCGTGATGCGCAGGAGTGTCAAACGAACCCGCGGTGTGGAGAGATGGACCTGCTCACCTACCTCAACATGCCGGTCCAGCGCATCCCCTACTATGTCGCCATATTCCAGGTACGAGCAACGCGCTCGATTGCCACTCCGTCGCCCCTGACATGTAGTGACCCGCGTGTGCGGTGGTGCGTGCCGCGTGTGCGGTGCTGTGTGCGTGTGCGCAGGCGCTGCTATTCTACACGCCGGAACACCATCCGGACTATGAGAACACGAAGCTGGCGCTGGAGAAGGTGAGAAACGTGGTCAAGTTCATCGACGAAAAGCGCAAGAGAGCGGAGAACATCCAGGCCGTCCTGCGCGTTCAGGACAGCGTCGTGGGCAAGTCGATCGAGATGGAGGCACGCCAACCAACCCCCCCCCGTCACACCGCACGAGCAGCCAGCAGCGAAAGCTGACCTTAATTTGTATGCGTGGTCGCGCGTGGTGTTGTTTCTAGAACCTGGTGCAGCCCTCGCGGCGATTCATACGCGAGGGGCCGCTGACGGCCATTCGAGGGACGAACGAAAAGACCGAGGGCTACTACTTTCTGTTCAACGACCTCATCGTCATGACCAAGAAGCAAAAGGGTATCATGCCCCACGCCATCTATCATCGATCGATGCGCTCACCACATTCTTCTCCTCTCACACGAAAAGGCAAGGGACGGAAGACCTACAAGTTCGTGGGCGCGGTGCAGATCACGCCGCGGACAGTGGTCCGGTTGTGTCCCGAGACCGTTTACACGGGTACGTCCACAGTGGTCTTCAGACTCCTGTGATGGTGCCCCTACGCTTGGTTGAAACTGACCCGATGATGGTGGTGATGATGATGGCGATGATGATGGTCTGGGTGTGGTGTTGACCGTGAGCGCAGCGCCAAACAGTTTCCAGGTGATCTCGCTGACGAAGCAGTATACATTCGCCTGCGAGTCCGACAAGAAACGACGAGAGTGGTACAACGACTGCAACGAGGTACATGCACGCACGCACGTGGTCGGGTCGGTTCGGGGCCACCAGGGGGTCATTGTCGTGGTGTGCTCACTCTCGTACACACCGGCACGCAGGCGATCAACATGATGGTGATGCAACAGAAGACCATAGCGGAGAAGCTGGCCGAAGCCGGCACGAGACCACTGATGGGAACTGTCAGAGACCAACAATGAACAGAAAAAGAAAAAAAAAACAGGAGAAAAATTCAACAAAACGCGAGTTAGTGAGCTGTGTGCGTGTGCGGTCGTGCGTGTGCGTGTGTCGTACCATCAGGAGCTGTGTAGGAACTTGCTGAGATCGAAGGAAAGGTTGGCGGCGAGGTTGTTGATGAACTCGTGGCTCATGTTACACTTGAGTCGCATCGTGTCCAGGTTCTCCTCCGTCGATACGCGGATGAAGAAACCCAGCGACACCAACGTGCTCACCTTGTACGAACAGGGCGAAAAAAAGTGAGTTGTTGATGAAGGCTGGACCCAACGTGTACGTGTGCGCACCTGATGATAAATGTTGTGGTTGCCTGTGTCGACATCACCGACCCTGTCGGCGATCGCTGAGAAGATGGCGAGCAGGCGGTCCAGAGAGAAGTCTCGTGGACCGAGCAAACGAAGGTTCGGGTCCTCCTGCAGAGAACACGTCAGTGACACACACGACACACGATACGACGCAAGGCGCACACGACACTGCGTAAGACACACACGACATTCCGGAGAGTCGATGGCCAAGGTATACCTTGAGCTGGGCAAACGTCCTGCCTCCGCCCTTCTTGGCTTGACCAACCGTCTTCGCGGAGAAGTGGTCCACGTCGAATCGCGGGTCGTTGTAGGACGCCAGGTAACCGGCGAGCACCAGGTACTTGGCATACCCAGCCAGCTCAAAGTCGAGTCTCTCGTCTACTCAACACACACACCACACACACACACACCACACACACACACAACACACACACACACACACACAACGTAGCGGCTACGGTCAGCCCCGCCCCCACCCACCACCACAGTATCGGACGATGGCCACGCACCTTCGTCTTCGGTGGGCAGGCCCGCGAACAGCTTCTGCCACACCTGGCCCAAGTGCGGTTTGAGTTTCTGCAGGACGCGCCCGTTCTCCGTGCCTAGGCCTGTGGTGGTGCCAGAGTGCGGCCTTTAACGGGCGTGCTCTTCCATCAGCAATCACTAGTGCTGCAGCGTACCGGCAGTGAGGAGCGGGTCGTTGAATTTGTTGAGGAAATGGAGCACTATGCGTCGCACTTCGGTGAGGTCCGTGCAGGCCTTGGCCACGTAATCGATCACCACCATCACGATGCCCTCTGAATCGATTTTGATTCAGTCGTTGGAAGAAAGTGGCACCGAACGAAAAGAGAACACCACCGTCGCGACTCGCGAACTACACACGCACCGAAGAGGTCCCTGTTGTCCTCGGGGCAGTCGCGAGAACAGATGGCGATCAATTCACCTGCGTACCATCAGTGTGTGTGTGGTTAGTGACGTTCGTCGGGCGGATCGCTGACAATTGGTAGATGCGGAGGCGACGTACTTCGCGAATAGCGAGGGAAGAGGATGGGGATGGGTTCCCGCAGCCCGTTCTTGGTAAGGAACTTGTCCCACACGATGCTGCTGATGAGGATGACACCAATGTTGCACCCCGTCTAGCGATACACCAAACAACGACGACGACAACAACAACAAAGCTGTTGAGTGCTTGAACGCCGTCGTCATACCAGACATGGCCTTGAATGCAAAGAATGCAACGTACCACTTCGTCGAGTCGCAACAGCAGCTGGAGGAGTGCGCCGGAGGTCTCTCGCAGTCTCTCTGCTTTGTCCAGGATCTGACAATGAGGACAAGACGATGATGGTTACACTGACGGAAGGTGCTGATGAAGGTCAACAAGGCGGAGGCAGAGTCGTACGATGTAGGTGGTCTCGGCTCGACCGGCGCACACGACGCGAAGGGCCGAGACGAACTTGGCGGGCGAGGCGCAGGAGATGGAGAGGGCGGGAACGTGTGGCTGGAGCCGCGCCAGTATGTCTTCGAACAGAAGGCTGTGGGCCACGTGCTGCGCGCTGCAGTCCACCAGCGCGTGAGGCAAGCGAAGCCCGCAGGCGACGGCACGCACCACCGCGGTCTTGCCCGAGGCGGGCGGCCCGTACACCATGAGCGAGCCCACCCGATCCTCCCTCTGCAATCAAATCAGTCAGCTTGGGTTGGCAATGAAACTTGTGATGCAATGTTGCCGCGTAGTCAGTTCATTTATTGCGTACCTGGCCAAGGAGGCGAATGAGTGTTCGAATCTGCTGATCGCGCCCCACAAATGTTCGTGTCAATTTCTGCTCAACCACATTCACCAAATCATCGTAGGCATCCTGTGGGTCCTTGCCTCCCTCCACATTTCGTGGTTCCATTTTCGCCACTAGCCGAATGTGCGGAATGATGTTGTTTAAAATGATGAATCAATTTTGTTGCGTTATGTTTCGCGCCAATTTTTGACTTGGCGATTTCTAAGGGGCCAGTCTCGCCCACCCTGTTAGAGCTCGTCTCGGCTGTCGCACACACAGGCAGCGGTTTGAGACTGTTGGTAGGACGAGCACCCAAACGTGGTGGTAGCCAAGGAGAAGAGCGCGGCCGTTTGCTGGCACTCAGCTTGCTGCTTCTTCTTCTGGATTAGCCAAGGCACAAGCAGTGAGACACGCAGGGACATGCGAGGCGGTGCATAACACGTCACGTATGTAGCACGAAACGTACTTTGACTTGTTTGCACACATCGTTCAAGCACTTGAGAAAGGCATCGTCACAGGCCTTCTTGCTTCCGCCACACACCTGATAGCAGAGGTCGTGATCACAGCACGGCGTGAACTCCCACTTGGTGCTCACTGACGAACACCGCAGCCAACGGGGTGCAGGTGAGAATGACTACTGGTGGCAACGTTTGGGGGGGGGTACCATGCAGGCCTGCGGGTCCGCAGCCGTTGGCAGTGGCGTTGTAGAGAAGGTTCTGTCTCGCTACGAGTCCGTTGGGGCAGGACCAAGGGCATGCGCCAGCGAGCGCAGCCAGCAGTACAAGGCAGACCACCACACCCACCAGCGCACTCCGTGTCTTGTCCATTGGGTTGTTGGGTGCTCACGTCACCGCTCACACCGCACACAGGACGTAGGAGAGGTATGCATGGAATGCAAAGAATTGTAGATAGCGAAGGCCCACCGGTTGCTTTTCGAGCGCACTCCCTTGGGCAGAAAAGGAAGCAACTGAGGCCTAAAAGAAAGGTGGTCGACTTGCGTTTCCCAGAAGCTCCCCTGCCAGAACCGGTTCTACATCCCATGTTTTGGGACTTTTTTTGGGAGTAGAAGCCCGTGAATCTCCCAAGATTCGGACTTTCATCGCCAGCCTTTGGCTAGGTTTGGGCTAGGCGCGCCGGTCCACCAAGGTATTCCCGTACGAGGCGCCTTGGCATAAAACCTCAGGTTTCTGCTAAGCTCACTCACCTTTTCACCAGCGAACCACACCTCCTTCTCTTCACATGAAGCTTCTGGTCCTCTTTGTCGTTGTTAACTTGGTTTCGTGCTCTGTCGTGACGGCCGACACGAACTTCAACTTCAACTTCGCGGGTATGATCCCGGCGCGGCCCCTGCGGTTCCTGGACCCACGGATGAGCCCACCTGTCCGTCGCCCACGCCGCCCGTGTGTCCCGTCGAGCCGAGCCGTCAATGTGAAGAACCGGAGGTGGAGGAGTACTTCTCCCTCAACACGAGCGTCCAGCCGCATGAGATCAAGGCCGAGTTCTTCCACATCTATAGACCGGAAGGGGACGAGTCGGTTTCAGGCTCCGATGAACAGGTCCACAAGAAGAGGGGAGCAATCGTAGGCTGCCAGGCGCCCATCACCTATCGCGGTGGGCCTGTCATGTCCGGCTCCAATATGGCCTACTTCATCTACTACGGGGCCTTCTCTCGTTCCACCCGAACGGAACCAACGCCGCCACCAACAAGACCAAGTCCCTTCTGACCCAGTTCATGTCGGGTATCTCCAACCACGCCTGGTACAACATCTCGACCGAGTACTACTCTAGGTTCTCCTCCCCCATCCCCACGGGACTTGCGTGTTTCTTCCGCTCATCAGCTTCCAATCCTAGGATCCCCGCCATTGTGAGCAAGACGTGGGTTTGGCAGACCAAGTACGTTCCGAGCACCATCAGGTTTGGAGGTACATTACGACGAGCTAGGTCCCAGATACATCTTCCAAGTCCCTCATACCCTTGTCCCTCTCTACTTCTCACAGGAGCCCTGTCGGTCAACCAGCCCTACAAGTACGCCGTGTGGAATTCCACCGTGGGCAAGTGGTTCATCGACAGCGGAAGTGTGGCCCGGTCTATTCAGGACACTGTGGGGGGTAACTCGAAGATCAGCAACGACGCCATGTATTTCTTCATCCCCTCCAGCGACGTTTGTATGTTACCATCTTCCACCTATTGTAGGTTACTGTGCTCTGACTTCCCCCCCCCCACTCACAGACACTGAGGGATCGTGCGGCTACGGAGTGCCCAACTTCCAGGGAGCTTATTGCGCTTACCACACCTTCCAGGTACATCGAATCGCTACTGTTTTATTTCATGGTTCGCTCATCAGAGGTGTGGGATGGCTCAGGTGATAAACTCGACCTCGTCGTTCAAGTACGCGTACATCTCCAACCCGGCCAACAACACCAGCGACTGGTGTACCAAGTACTGCTCTCACGAGGCGTACTTCGGCCTTGGCACCAAAACGTACCCGAACGAAAGGTAAGTGGCTCACTTCGCCTCAAGTCTGGTGTTTGAACGACGCCCTCACCAACGACCGTACAGAGCGGCCGACACGATGATCTCGTTGGTGGCGCACGAGATGGTGGAGATGCTGACTGATCCGGTGTGGGCTCCTGCGGCCACTTCCGCCTGGTTGGACCAGGTGGGGTGCGAGAACGCCGACATGTGTTCCTGGTACGTCCACAAGGATAGTGAGTTACCCATCATCTCCATAACTGAAGAATGTGTGATGACAGGACCTACGGCAATACGACCCAGGCAGCCAACGGTGGCAAGACCAATCTGTCTGTTGGAGGCAAGCAGTGGCTCGTCCAGCAGAACTGGGTCTTGAGCAAGAACGACTGTGGTATGAAACTCTAAGCCAACCCGACAACTAATCTTATTATTCATTTTATCATTCCCTGTACCCATGTGTAGACCTGCACCATGTAGCATTGTATATTCTCACCACATTATCGTATTAAAATCTGATGTAGAAATGTAAACATGTACCAAAAAAACAAGAAAATTAATTTTCCTGGTCCATAATGACGTGGAAATGGGAAGAAGGATGGAGGGTACATGTAGTGGTGAAGAAAGATTAAATATATATATATATAGGCAGAGAGTATCACTCCCTCGCTGGTCCTGCGCGGTGGCGTAGGTCCTCTTACACAACGTTGGTGCGTTCGACAAGACTGAAAGTGTTGTGGGAGATCAGTGAGTTGGAGGTCAAGAGCAGCGTGATGCAATCGGAGGGAGGAGTGACTTACCCAACCCTCGGGTGGGCAACGAGCGCAGTGTCGACGGGCGCGATCCAGTTGCTCGCGTTTGCGGGGTTGCGATACCACTCGACTGTTATTGCGCACAAAGATGTGATTAGACGATGACTGAAGCATGTGCAGTGTAGCGGCTTATCAGAAGGGCTCACGTACTGGTCTTAGCGCGGCCGTCCTCGAAGGTGACCTCGGGCTTCCAGCCAAGCTTTTCGGTCTCGGAGGTGTCGATGTAGTACCTCAAGTCGTTGAACAGGCGGTCCTCCACGTGCTCCAGGTATTCGCTCTCCTTGTCGTCCAGTCCGAAGGCCTTGAGCA